AATGTAGCTGACTGGTGTCTCAGTTGTCATCAACGGCATGCACAAAGATTGGGAATATTTGAGGAACTAATTCGAACCGCTCGTCATCGTCGGGCACAATGAGGACGCCAGTCTGATGGTCGTGGCAGATGTTCGGGTGCTGGCAGTCGTGAGACATCACTTGAAATCATTCTTAACTCCGAATTCCCATCAATTTTCTGGCATTTCTGGGTTTTGATTTCCAGTCCGGAGTGACTCTAAGGTGTCTGTGAAGGCGCGACCAGGATTGATTGCCTTCCAACCCAGATTCTGACCAATTGATGTATGTGCAAGCGGCCAACAAGACATATGACGTGAGCAAGACGTGGTTGCAGAAAAGGAACCCGCCGATCAGTGATGGTCCACCAAGCATGGCCAAATAGGCCCGGTATTTGTCCGCCGTCAGCAAATCATCCCGAAATTCCCACAGTTCTAGTGGAAGAACTGAAATACCTTGGGAGTGGTGCCTCAAAAGTAATCACATAGAGCACCTCAAGAGTACTCAGGATTAATGCCCTCCTTTTGAGTACCTTTTTGGCGTAATTAGTACCTGGGTACTCATATGTAGTACCTTTACCTTTCCACAGTGGTAAACTACAGACTACCTGCAATCCCATGTTCAACTTCTCCTATCAGGTGAATGCAGGGGAGCACAGTATACATATATCTGACATTGGTTAAATGCAGGGGGTTAATGATTAATTAAATGACACTGTTGATGTTGATCAATTTATCCTTCACCGGTCAATGAAACCAATTAGACCATAGTATCTTATGACTCTACATACAAGATATAAACCCTGTGGATTTTCAAGGGTCTGCACCGCTCATAATCATGCCCCGTCAGCCTACCATAGCTGAAATTCACTTAGATCATATCTCCACATGTTTAACTATCACTGGGAGTAGCCTGCAACTCCTTGTGGACAACTTTAAGATCTCTGGTCTGGAGGCCATTTTGAATACCACACAATCCCTCTTGAAAGTAGCGGAGGGTACAGCTCATCATGATTTGTTAGACCTCACACTAAGTTGATGTTTTAGAAAATTAAACGAAACAAGAATTCCTTGCCAGCGAGTTGATGGAGCAAGCTCACAAGGTGCTCATTGCAATCATTGGGCTATATATTAAGTCAGATACTGGAGGAGAATTGGCTCCAAGTGTATTGAATCACATTGCAAATTTTACTCAGTAGGTATCTGGTCTTAGTTGAGTCTGTCATTGACCAGTAGATATTTAGGACTCTCCACAAAATCCATACCTTTGTCGAGGCCCCAACAAAGTGGCAACAAGATCAAAACATTTTTCCAACAGGGAGAAATGGGTGGCCTGCTTAGGGATTGCAAGGCAGAGTTGCAACAGGGGTTTGATTTTTCCAGGTGAGGGTTGTCTTTGGCAAGTATGAGGGAAAGGCCTTGACCGAGGCTGACATACTCAAGATCACCAATATCATCACCGAGGTCAAAGAGATGCAAGAACATGCAGAGGCCATGCACCAGGAGGTGCATGATATCATTGAGACACTCTCGAGCTCAGATTCAGCATCCTCAGTAGGTGATCATATCATCTCAGAGACTGAAGCATGACCATTGCGCAGATTAGTCAAGTTTATCGCAACTCGTATGCAAGGTAGGATCCCAAACAGTGCTTTGATACATATTCTCACCATTGTAGTTCAACCTCCATCTCAATGCTCCCAGCAGAACCAAAGATATTCTATGGTCGGGAAAAAGAACTTACAGATATCCTCAAGCTTTTTGAACAAGAAAGTCCTCGAATTGCAATTCTAGGTGCCGGTGGAATGGGCAAGACCAGTTTATCCAAAGCAGTCTTGCATCACAGCGAAATTACCACCAAATACCATGCCAATCGGTTTTTCATTGCATGTGATGGTTTGACAACAAAGGTTGAACTTGTCAACATCGTTGGTGCTCATCTAGGCCTCAAATCAGGAAAAGATCTTACCCGAGGAGTTCTCAGACACCTTCCAATGCTCCATCCACTTTGTTGGTTCTTGACAATCTGGAAACACTTTGGGACCCAGCTGAATCTCGCAAGAGATTGAGGAGTTCCTGTCTCTCCTCACAGATATAACCAGTCTGGTGTTGATGGTTGGTGTATTTTTGTTGTGATTGGCAGGTTTACTAATCAAGCACCAGATCACAATGCGAGGAGCAGAAAGACCATCCCAAGTGAAGTGGACTCGACCATTCTTGTTGCCCTTGCAACCATTGGCACCGGATGCCGCCCAAAGAATGTTCCTTGACATTGCAGATGATGGCCATTCGATGGAGGAAGTAAAACCAAGTGCTTGCATTAACAGATAATATGCCACTGGTGATAAGTCTTCTGGCCCATCTGGTGGATACCGAATCCTGCTCTCGGATCCTGGCCCGTTGGGAAACTGAAAAAAACCGGGCTCTTATCTGAGGGCTATGACAAGAGATCTAATTTGAAATTATCTATCTCGCTCTCACTTTCAAGCTCTAGAATCACCTCTGTGCCACATTCCCAGGATTTGCTAAGCCTGCTGTCAATACTCCCAGATGGACTCTCAGATGTGGAGCTGAAGCAAACCAATTTTCCAATTCAAGATATCCTTGGTTGCAAAAGAGCATTGCTTCGTACCGCCCTAGCTTATACTGATGACCATAAACGGCTAAAAGCTTTGGTGCCTATCAGGGAATATATGCAGAGTTTACTACCTCCAACAGATCAAATGATCAGACCACTTTTTAAACACTTTCAGGAGTTTCTTGAATTGTATAACAGACATATCGGCAAGGCATCAGGAATGCTATACATCTCCCGAATTGTGTCAAACTTTTCCAACATTCAAAACATTCTCCAGAATACTCTACACCATGGACATCCAGATGTAGTTGCCAGTATCTACTGTGTCTGCCATCTCAACCGATTTAGCCAAATGGAACAGAGAGGAGACATATTTCTGTTTCCTCTAATCAGTCCTATACTTGCACAAGTTTGTGACCCCCAACTGGAGGTTTATGTGATCATTGAGATTTTCAAGTCATGGACACTTGCAAGGTCTCATCCAAATCATCCATGGGAATTGGAAACTCGGGGCAAGGAATGCTGCAACTACTTTGATGACTCTGATCTGACATGTACGCGCTGCACTCAATGTTGGTGCTGTAAAGCTCACATATTACACAGGCAGTTTTCATCTTGCACTAGCAATTTATTATGGTGATTGTGGCCAAAACTCAATAGCAATAGAACATGGCCAAATTGCACTCTCTCTGGCACAGTCCACTGGAAACAGTGACAAACGTTCTGATGTGTTCATCCGCTTTGCATTCATCAAATGGAGGATTGGTGACTATACTGCTGGACAATTCTATGCAAAGGAGGGCCATAGGTTGGCCAAGATTGCAGGACATTTGTACAGAGAAGCAAATGGGCTCCGTGCAGAGGCACTTAACTGGAAGGGACTAGGCAATTACACACAATGCATATTGTTGGCCAATAGAGCAAGAAGTCTCTTAGATATGTGTAGTCTACCTCACAGTTTCGAGGGCAATGCACTTAAGACCCTACTTGCAGAGGTGTGGAGCCTTAAATCAGAATATGTTGAAGCACACAGTATGAATAATCAAGTCGCTCGAGCTGCTGTCAATGATTTTTATTCCCATATAATCTCATCAATAAACATGGCCGATATTGAGGTGTCTATGGGGACCGCAAGGCATGAAATACAGAAGAAAATCAATTTAGCCCAAACCAACCTCAAAGTGATTGGGAATGTTGACCTCTCAACTGCATGTGACATGGTTCAGGCTGACCTCAATCTCAGGGAAGGGGACATGTCAACATTGTTGTTTTGCAAATGCCTTAGAGAAACATGGGGAAAGGATTCTGAGGTAGTGGCCTACTGCTTGGAGAGACTAGGAGATGTCAGCCGTTGGAATAATTGTTGTCATGAATTATCCTGGAGCACAGTTCTTCTTACACACTCGCTCAAGCAGAAAGAGAAACTAGGAATCCACAAGGGCCTCCAATTCATAGGAGATATCTTCCTCCAGGAGAATGATGAAGCCACAGCCATCTCCCTGTTCACACTTGCTTTGCAAGGTTTCACACTAATGGATGTCCACCGCAGCAGAGCAGAATGTATGATTCGACTTGGAGATATCTCTGAGAAGAATGGAGATTTGCTCAATGCCCTGGAGCTGTGGGAGATGGCAAGACCGCTCTTTGAGTGCTCCTCACAAATCAAGCAGATTCATGCTATAGATGAGAGGATGTCCAGAGTTGACAAAGATGTGAAGGAGCAGCATCAGAAGAACCTGGCCTATCTGGTTGAGCTCTCTGTCCACAGGGAAGGTGGATGAGGTGGATGAGGATTCTGAAACGGAACTGGAGTTGGATGAAGCTGAGGTCGAGCGAGTTGTGATCTGAGTTTTGAAGAATATATAGTGTTGAGAAGGTTCATCTGTTCAGTCTTAACGTCTGGTAGTTTTAGAAATTTGTTTATTTATTTATAGTGGGTTCAAAGGAAAATACTGTCCAGTAATAGCAGTGGGGTTCCCCTGCCAAACAAAGTAGGCTACAAGACTAAAAACACAGTCGTTGGAAACAGGTCCAATGGCTCAGAAACCGTGGATAGATAAATAACGAGTCTAAAATAGGATAATTTTTAAGACTTGTAACCTTTTGGGTAGACCACTAAACAAGAAATGGGGAACATACATGTCATGAATCGTGGTTTTACAACCCGTTGTGAGCTATCATTTTGTGATACACTCAAGCGCGGTGGAAATCAGCAACAAAGCGGCTCATGGAGGAAATAGCCTCAGATTACACGGCATGAAGACCAGGCTATGGCCCCGCCACGGAAATATCACGAACAAAATTTTCCTGTGGTTGAATAATGGCCTTGCGCAGGTTCCCTCCGTGGACGAAAAAGGTTACGTACTACGGAACTCACATGGGAAAAAACAAGTCAACTGGATTTGCATGGCCTGACCTGGAATCGAACGAGGGTCTCGCATTTAACTGATTATGTGTCATCAACCTACAGTAAATGTGTGCGTTAACAGTTACGCCACCAGGTCTACACCTTGAATAGCCGGCAATACACAAAAACCTCAGAGGTTGACTTCAACAAGAGCAAGGGTTTCACCGGAGCCGGGCTATCAAGGAATGTGCACACCTTGAAGTAACGGTAACCACAAATGTATGATCAGCCGGGAATGCGACACGAATAAATTCACAGACGACTCGTGAATCGCTACAGGAAGCATGGAGCGACGGAATCGGGCAAACATAAAGGTCGTGGGGACAGCTTTCCATCGAACTTAATGGAGGGCATGTGCACTGAACTTAACGGAGGACATGTGTGTCAAACTTCACAGAGGCCATGTGAGGATCTACACCGTGAAGCAGGAAGGATGGTGCAACGGAGGCTCTGAACTAGAAGTTTGCACACAGTAATCAGGCCGGAATCCGTATAGAAGCCAGATGTATTTACCAAGGAAGGATCTTGTTATACCCCACTGCTCACACCCAAGCTACCCACCCCCTGCCTTAAGGGGTGGAGTTGTCTCTCTCATACACATACTAGCTCAGGCTACACTGTCCTCCGTGGGGCTAGCTAAATAGGTCACTTGGACTGAAGGTTCACCAAGGAACTCTTTCCAAGGTCCCTTCGACTCTGTCAGCGACAGCCCTAGGTCGGCCCTGACGGGATGTCAATATGGAAATAACCCGGCTGGGACCTTTGTACGAATAACCCAACTAGAACCCGGGGTGAACGCTGAGGAGGGGATACAGTTGAATAGCCACTGAGAGGGGCGAAGTACAATGTATGTCTGCTCAAGGGGGAACCCGGAAAGGCCCAAAGGCGGTATAGTATGCGCCCAGATACGCACGTGGGGAGGACCCATGATTATCTCTTTATAGGTCGGATCCCGATTTCGGCCAAGACTTTGAGTTCTATCCAAACTAATTATTTGTTCCCACGGTTTTTGAGGCAGCCAAAACACTTCTTTTTTCAAGACGGTCACTTTTCATGTTTTTTTCCTCAAAATTTTCTCAAAATTTTATCCGAACTCGGGATCCGACCTATAAAGTGATAATCATGGGTCCTACGCGGGGTCACCGATGAGAGTCGAAGCCCAGGAGTGAGAAGATGCTTCATTGTTGCCAGGCCAAAGTATAGCTGATATTAGACGAGGTAGAATCTAAGGTACAGGAAGATTCTACCTAGTATATATACTACTTTGGTAATTAGGTATCCTGGGTTTCATCTGAAATACCAATCGACGTTGATGAGACAATGTATAGCACACAGGAGTGCAATCAAATATATCTCCAAGGTGTATTGGCATTTAGGGTTTGACACATCTCGGTGTCCGATTGTCGATCCTTGAGTATCCCGGCGGTTGCTTTAGTTCAGTTGTCTAGGAGTATTCCGGGATGTTCCTTTGGAGTTTGGTCATCGTATGGAAAATGAGGTCGTAGGGAAAGGAATGAATGGGTTGTGAAAACCACGATTCATGACAGACTCCGTAAAATGGGTCAGGAGGAAATTGTTGAATACAAAGGTGTTGGATACGGTGCAGTTGATGAAAAGCACAAACCTTTAAACAGCGAGCAGCCAATACTTAGCTGTGTGCAACTGTTTTTTCTGGCCTCAATCACAGATCTGTGTGCAGGGTACCACCCCCATCTTCAGCAAGGCTTATCCATGAAGATTGTAACCACTCCACCATGTCATGAACACACTTCACCACACTCATCACGAAACATCATCTGCTGCGCGTCCTCACAAGCACAGGAAGAAAATAGACCACGGAGGAAAGAGCTATAGCCCGCTCGTGCTGTGTTGAAACCACATTCTGAAGACACTGCTTGCCCAAATATGTGAGGCAAGGAGAAAAGAGCTACACCATATCACCCAGGTCTCCCAGCTTGGATCGATGCTCGCATTGCGAAGCTTTATTCCCTCGTGCAAGTGTAGAGTGGCCTCCAACCACAGCTTTCTTGGAAGGCTAGCCCCCAACAAGGAACCTCGTGCCTACATCCTAATCCTCACAGAAACAGATTGTACCATCTTACCACCACCACCACCACAATTATATAAACCTTCCGTAGCATACGAGTAGCTTCATTGGTCAGACATCTCACGGAACCGCAGTCCACATCACAGTGGGGAGGCAGAGGAGAATGCACCAATTACGGGGAGGGACATGATGCAGATATCACAGTTCGAGTTGTGGTTTAAGTGAAGTCCTGAACAAGTCCCTAGCCAATGGTGACCTCGAGTACGTTGAGGTATAACTGATGGGCATTTGAAGTGTCCTAATTAGGTCTTTAGTCAAGAATCAAAGTTCAGGGATGTTGGCAATTTGGCTTCCCCCAACGGAGTACTTTATCATTATGCTCTGAGGGTCATGACACTTGTTTCAGAGTGTGGTGCTCCGCATTTCCATACAAATGGGAGTAATACAGGAAGAAGAAAAATGGCGTGGGAAAAACCAACACGGCAAAAAAGTGGCCTGACCTTGGTTCGAACAAGGGACTTCCCATGAAGTTATGTGAGTTGCTCCGTAGTTAAAAGGGACGTGCTACCACTACACCATCAGGCCATGATTCATGACTCCTACAATCGATGAAATACGGCCAAATTATCTTCAGCCTGGATTTTCAATGTTCTGTTCGGGACTTCTCTCAAATTTACTGTAAGATGAAATCACCACCCGCTTTCATTCTTGCGCAAATTTAAAGACACAACCGACAGAAACTTTTGATTTCAATATATTGACGAAGATTGGAGCTTTTGCTTCGCCGTTCGGCAACCCCATAATTCTGAATTTCTGTGGGTGGTGATTAAACTTACAGTAAATTTAAGAGAAGTCTCGAACAGAACATCGAACCTGGCAATCCAGGCTGAAGATAATTTGACTGTATTTCATCAATTGTAGAAGTCACGAACCATGGCCTGATGGTGTAGTGGTAACACATCCCTTTCAATCAACTGCGCCTCCATGTGACTTTGTGAGAAGTTCCTTGTTCGAATCAAGGTCAGGCTGTTTTTTGCCTCGTTGGTTTTTGCTGCACCATTTTTCCCTTTTTGCTATATTATTAAGCTTACTCCCATTCGTATGCATACGGAAATCCGGAGGCTGGCCCCGAAGCACGGCACTTTCTAACTTTTTTTGCGGGAGCGAACTTGAAAGCTTGCATCCTCAACAGCCTGCTAGTAGTTTCGAACAGAACATCGAACCCAATCCAGGCCTAGGCTGAAGATAATTCGACTGTATTTCATCAATGACAATTGTAGGAGGCTTGAGCCGTGGCTTGATGGTGTAGTGGTAACACGTCCGTTTCAATTAGTAGAGTATTGACGTAACTTCATGGGAAGTCCCTTGTTCGAATCGAGGTCAGGCCGTTTCGTTTTTTGCCTCGTTGGTTTTTCCTGCGCCATTTTTTCTTCTACTCCCACTTGAAATCTTCAAGAACCTGCTAGTGGTCTCGAACGGAACGTGGAACCCAATCCAGGCTGAACATAGTTTAACTCTATTTCATCAATTGTAGGAGTCATGAATCATGGCTTGATGGTGTAGTGGTAACACATCCCTTTCAATTAGCACATACTGTACCGAGTTGTAGGGAGGCAACGGTCACGGTAACGGAATGTCCGTTGCGTTGCCTATTTTGCGGCGGGTCACGGTAACGGTGAGGGCCGTTGCCTCAAAAAAATCGTGACCATGAAGAGAAAAACTTGGAAAAAAAATCTCGGGGCACTGGAAGTGAAGGAAAATGGCAATAAAAGTAGCAGGAGATCCCTCCGAGTCTATGATGTGCCGATACGAGCCCTGAAAGTCGAATAGTCTGCCTCAAAGATATGGCCCCGTTGCCTCCTTAAGCAACGGTCACGACTCACGGTCCCGCCGTTGCCTAAAAAATAGGCAACGGGTTGGTCACGGTCCTCGGGTCGTTGCCTCCCTACAACTCGGTACAGTATGTCAACTTGACTTCATGGGAAGACCCTTGTTCGAATCGAGGTCGGGCCGTTTTTTGCCTCGTTCGGTTTTCCCACCTTCTTAAGTTACTCCCATTTGTATGGAAATTCGGAGGCTGGAGCGCACTTTTTAACTTTTTTTTTGCGGAACGCAAATCTTGAGGAGCCTGTGAGTAGACTTGACCAGAACATCGAACCTGGCAATCCAGGCTGAAGATAATTGTCCTGTATTTCATCAATTGTAGGAATTATGAATTGTGGCTTGATGGTGTGGTGGTACTCCATTCCATGCAACACACGAGCTCCCACAATATTCCTGGTACCATGACCAGGTCTAGAAACCGAATTGTCATCACGAACCATTGCCTCTGATCGTACCACTTCCTGTTTAGGATAAATTTCCTATTCATCATAATTTTCAGCAGTAAATTTCTCAATCCGCATAAGGTACCACCACAGGAATCCAAATTAGTGCTGGCAAGGTTCGGTTCGGTTCGAGTTCATGGCACATTTCCCTGAACGCCGAACTCGAACGCCACGTCCGGTTCAGCCACCCCCCTGAACCCCGAACCTGAACACAGGTTCAGGTTCGGTTCGGCGTTCGAACGGATTCGAACCTGAGCAAAATTCGTGTTCTCGGGGAAGAAAGAAGTCGTCTATGAAAATAGGTATTGGATATTTCTTTATGCTTACCGCGTCAGTTGCATCTAGAGTCGCCTCCGGAGCCTAAATGGCCCTTAAATCAACAAAATCCCACAGTTGAAAAATTCTGCATTGATAAATTAGACAAGAGGGTCGTGAGATCCATGTGAAATCAAATTCGGGTCAAACCTTGGGGTACAGAGGCATAAATTCTGCACAGAGCTACAGAAGGGAAGGTCAGAATTCACCACAAAACTCCCAAAATATGTCTAAAATCCACTAGTTTTACCTTCTTTCGGTTCAGGGTTCGGTTCAAGCGGCTTGAGGCGCGAACGCCGAACCTGAACGCGGTGTTCGGTTCAGGGGTTGGCCAAACCTGGACCTGAAAATCGTGTTCGGTTCAGGTTCGGTTCAGGTTCGGACCGAGTTTCGAACCGAACCTTGCCAGCACTAAATCCAAGACTAAATCCAAATACAGCCTGAGTGTCTAAGTACTTAATATGTTTTAAAGATCGGTTGCATACAAAGTGAAGGCTGAAGGGTTCAGTGTTTTTGAGTCCATGTAGCAGCAAAGGGTACCAGGGATGCCCGGAGGGCCTTTATAATGTACACTGTTTCTGGAGCTCAAATATCCTCCACGGCCTCCCGCAAGATGCCGAACACGTGATAAATTCCCTTATGGGGATGCAGAGGTCGGTGCAAGGTCGGTGTCGTTTGAAAACGGCTTGAAAAAACGGCTCCGGTTCACTTTTTCACAGAACTTTACCCCCTTGTCCACGGATTCATTGTTCTCGCGTCTTCACTCAAGTCCTCAATCTGTATATCCAGTCTTAGAGGTCTGTGTCGCGATCCGTCTCTCACTGTCCCTTGAAATATAATGTGTGGTCTACTAGTATATTCAAGCTTCAAATTATGTGTACTAGTTCAACACAAAGGGGATCTGCAGAGTAAAAATTGTTTGCATCTTATACTACTCCAAACCCAGCACTATCCTCGCATTGGGCGGAGTCCTCGTAGAGGCTGTGGAGCCAGATGTGGACCCACTAGCATTATTCTCGCCACGCATGTCCACTGTCGCCATCCCGGAGGTGGTTATTTATCCGAGAGGAGGAAGAATGGGACGGGCTTGTACATCCAGCGCCAACACCGTGATGGTGGGCGTGTTAAGGAATGAACGCAGCTTTAACCAAATTTAACCAAACGTGGCCTGGTCCGTGCGCAGCCGGTCAAAACAAGCAAACAAGCCAGTATTACAACAGAGATAGACTTAGGACAACATAATCAGTCAAAGAGCGAAATGGAATCATCTATCTGAACGGGACTCTCTCCGAGCGTTACTCCGCATTGCTGTATGAATGCAAGCCAGGCAGCATCCATCCCCGACTCGTTCGTCAGCCCCAGATCCATCATCGCGTTCGTGGGTCTGCCGTCTCCCGCAGCTACCTCCGCCGGAGGCATCATCCCCGTCCCCGCCTGTAATACATCGAATTGCGGCATGGCCGCAGGTTCGGTGCCCTGGGGATACAACATACTGTAGACGTCCTGGGCAAGACTTCAATTTAGTACAGCTACAAAAACAAAGCCAGGGAAACCTACCGGCGGCAGTCCCATCATAGCGTCATCCATCCGGATATCGCTATTCGCGGCGACGAGGTCGTCCAGCCAAGGAAACTCGTCCACGGCCGCGCCCTCACCCCGGTCCGCCGAGGAGTACCCTGGGACGGCCGCCGATGCGAGGGGCGGCGAGGTCGACGCCGATTTCATCCCGCGCTTGGGCTTCTGCTTTAACGCCAGCAAGCGCGTCTGGCCGCCAAAGATCGCCAACTCATCGGTTGCGGCGCCATCTGGGGGCGCCGCTGTGCCCTGGGGAGGCGGCGGGCCCGCGGTGGGGCTAGGCGGCACGACCTGCGTGTAGGCACGCACCGCGCGCTCTTTCAGCTTCACGAGTACCGTCTGCACGAAGGAACTATACGTCAGCTCAGGCAGGACTGCATGCCACGTGAACACCCACAAAGGCAAGCTTCCCGCGGTGCGAGTGCTTCGCGGTGCGCTCAAACAAATCGACGGCGAGCCCGAGATCAACCAGCGCGCTTGACGCCATATTTGACTGCGGCGAGAGAGTCACGACTGTCCCTGCGATGACCTAGACGTTTGTCCGATAACGACAGGATGCTTGGAGACAAAGTATTGAGAGCGTACCGCCGCAGAAAACGTCTGGTGCAGGAGCATCCATACGCGCATGGCCATATCCGCGCAGCGGTCAAACTGGTACGCGGTTCCCTTAATGATTACGCTCGCGGAACGATACGCCGTCAAGAACGACGTTGCAAACGGACTCCGGAGCGGGTTCGCGGGGAAGTCGAGCATCGCCTGGGCGAAGAAGCTGCGGTGCAGATAAATCATCGCTGAAGGTCCGTCAGCAACTCCGAGGCATCGGAAAACAATAGGAGCCGATGGCGACGCACTGACTGCGCGGTATTGGCCGGCGAAGGCGCCGCGTAGACTCGCAGAGCTCGAAAAGTATTCCGCTTCCCCGTCCGCGCGTGTCGGATATCTGGACAAAATACACCAGCGTCAGGAAGCTGAATTGAGACATTCGCGTGCGACGGCAGGCCGCCAATAGCGCGTAGGGCACACAAGGTTCTCGTCCTCGACGCGTTTTAGAGAAGGAAAATAATGCGCACGGTTTATAGGAATCAGGCACACTCAGCTCGCGCACCCGCCGGTCGAGCTCGAGCACGGTCGCATATCCCGGGGGCTTCGCGGCCAGCGTCGCCTCGGCCATTGCCATCCATATGTCGCGCGCAAAGTGGTACTTGGAGCGCCAGACTGGGAGATGCGTCAAGTGGGAGGTAAATGCAAAGACAGAGAAGGGGACCACGTACAGCCAGGCCGTATGAGGCCGTCATCGGTTAACGAGCACTCCTCGTCTTCGGGGTACTCGCAGTCGACATATGTGAGGTGTATTGCAGGGGGACGGCCCATTGCGAGACCCTGGAAGAAGAGCTGTCAGTACCATATCCGTATTCTACATTTGGAAGCATACATGGGACAGATCCGCAACAAAGACCTCCCAGAACAGAGTTCTGCCAGCGAGTCAGTCTTGCGCCGAACGCAAAGTATGGGGAGCGCGGACCTGCGCCTTTGCACCATCGTTGCGTCCATGTACCATCGCGCACTGTCACGATCTGGAGTGTCATAAGTAAATCGTCCCCGGACGAAGAGCGCGACTCACGCAGTCCTATCTAGATGAGAGGCAGCTCATCAGCAACAAAGAAAAACTCGAGGGGGGGGGGAGAACGTACGCTCTGCGCCAATTTCGCCGCCATACTTATGAGACACCACGCACTGTCGCGCGAATATTTCTTCCCCGCCAGAGAGTGATATGTCGCCATGAGGCCAACCCCTCGTACCGTGTCAAAGAGGGGAGAGTCGTACACAGAGCGGAGGGACAGTGCCGCTCGGCCAGCGGCATAGTGGCGCTCCGCCTCAGCGTTGTATGGGGTGAGCTGCAGGTCGAGCAGGGCCCCGAGCGCGAGCACGAAGAACAGCACCGCGAGCGCATGCGCTACATCGCCGTTGCCGACCTCAGTCTGATCTTCTGGCATGTAGATGGCCTGAATGAACGGCCCCAGCAACTCGTCCCGCTTGATTGGGCGAAAGAACAGTGCAGCATGGGAGAGATACGCCTCGCAGAGATAAATTGCGTGCTCGTACTGCGGGAGGAGGGTGCGTATGCGCTGCAGTTTGGGGAGATTCGGCCGTGCCTGTGGGAATATGTTGCC